TTTAAAATACTGATGTATAACTCATTTTGTAGTATTTAAAATTGGTATAAAGTTAAATTAGTAAAGCAAGTTAATCCTAAAACTATATAGTTTGTATTCTAAGTTGAAACAACTTATGAAGGTACTTTTGTATTTGTTTTTTTTCATGGTTAGTATTTGGAGTAAAATTAACAAAGAATACCTTGCTGTTAGGAGTATGGTTTGCTGGTAGAAGTAAAAAGGATTAAAAAACACATGATCAGATTTTTTTTCTGTCATTATCTCAAAGATAACTTCCCATATTCAAAAATCTTGTTTTTTAAATAAATATCTCTCCAAGCCCATTCTCTTGGCTGTGGTTTCCCTTTAGCTGTAAAAAAAAAAAAGGAAACTTAGTAATTTTTTTATGAAATATTTCTAGAAATGTGGGGAACCCATTTTAGGTAAACAATGACAATGTAGGAAATAGCACAAGCTTGAAACTTGTTTTTAACATAGTGGCTTTAAAACTGCTCGTATTTGTAAGTGTTCCCAAGTTAAACAAGATGTTAGAAAATGTAAATTTATCCAAATTCACAAGTTGAGGTATGATTATAAATAACTTGATTGAACTTCAAGAAAATTTAATAAAAGAAATTTTGAGTTAAGTGTAGTACAGTGTTGAGTGTACCAACAGTGGATCTGAAGTTCTGTGGTTAATGTCCCAGTACCACACCAAAAAAAAATGCACTCTGCTCTTTGGAGCCATGGATGCATTATAACTGTGATGGTTATATCCCACTATGTTATCTGATGAGTGTCCAAAGAGTTGGCAGTGGATGCTGTTGACTAGCTGCTTTTCTTCTGGTCTTTCACTTCAAAGTAAAGGACAGCTACTGCAGACAGCCCTTCTTTGCAAGAAATTTAACAAAACAAACAAGTTTTCTTTATAATATGTTGAACATTTTATTTTTTCCAGAGTATGCTTTGTCCACAGCATGTACCCAAAGTTCCTGTACTGGACAATGAATTGGAATCTATGGCTGTCTTCAGGAGGGTTTACATAAACAGAGAAGAACACAAGCAAATTGCAAGGTATTCTTTTAACTTTGGCTCTAAACCAAAGTCTCCTTGAACCTGTTTTCTTCTATATCAAATAAAACTTGTCGTTTAAGCTCTTGGTTGTTTAAAATATTTTGGTTTGACAGCAAGTTTCTTTAGTTACATAGTTTTTAATTTTTTTGTATTTATGCATGCATATGTGTGCGTGTCTAGTGAAGGAAAATAATTTCAGTTACTTATTATGGCTTGAAACACTGTATGGCAAAACAGATAATTAGAAAAATGTTTCCATAAAAAATATTCTTGTAACTGAATGAATATTTATTTTGTTTGCTGTAATATCTTGTTTATTGATGAAATATCAAACTACTTAAGATGTGATATTCTTTAGGTTCATATGTTTTTATATTGCTGTGTACTGTGTAACCAAAATGAAAAACCCATATTCAAAATAATTATATCTTAAAAACTACTTGTCCAAAAAGGAACACAATTTCAACAAAGGCAAACTTACAATTTTGTTTTATTGAGAAGATTTTTACATGATACTATGTTATGCTTCACACCTAAACTGATTGTCTGGAAATCTAGTGTTACATTTATTTATTACAAGCTGAATGCCCGTTGTATGATGGGAAATAGTTAATAATTATTATCTGGTAACAATATATGTATGGAGAATGACTATCCTGTTTGTAGTATTTCATGAAAACATTTTTTATGTATATTAAGCTATGTTCTTCTTGATAAATTCTTGTAGATTGAAACAAGCAAAAAACTTATTCTCAAAGACATATTCCTACTTGGTCAACTGTATAACCCTGCAAATTATTAATTGTGATAGTAAAGGCAGTGAATTTGGTTATGAATTTCGGGGTCTTCGACTTAGACTGTCTTCCTGGTTTTTGCTTTATTATTATGCTGAGCTGAAGAAGCACACTTTAATTTGGGCATGTTCAAAATTGAAATGTGCTGCGGGTAGCTCATGCTGTAGTCTAGGGTTCCTTTTGGACAAAATTTGGTAATGGCGTAATGGGTAATTTCACCCAATGGTCATGATTTTTGTGTGACAGCAGTACCAAGTTTGGGGCATGCATCTACTCTATACAATTTTATTACTCATTACGATCTCTAACAACCTACCTTGAAATCTAGCTATATGCCCAAAGTAGTGCATTATATATATATATGGCTGGAAGGATTTTAAAAAGACAAACTTGCTTCTTGCGGCAGAAGCACTGTTGTTTTGTGCAACTTGCATGTTTATCGGTACCAAAACAGCCAAGATATCGGCGTGACAGACAGACGGCTCTTCATGTTTATATAGTAGATGTTTTCTCTCTTCTTCAGTAATACAATGTGGTTGAAGTTACTTCCATTAGGAATAATCTTCATATGCTGACTTAGAATGATGGGAAGCATATTTAACACTATCTTTGACCATTTGTAAAATACTCTGTATCATATTCATGCTTTTCCAAATTAATTTTGTGATTTTAGTGTGCCTTTGGTGAAATTTTTAATAGTTCTCCTAGGGCGAATATTGTTTAAAATTTTAAATTTTATTTTTTTTTTCTTTATAATCATTTGTATATACAAAAAATAATGATTAATTACTTTTAATTTTCTGTTTGTATGTGTTTATGTATGTTTAAAGATAATTTTAAATTTCTGGGTAGGGCACTGTCTGATGGTCAATGTGTTCAGACTGTGGATCCATTACCACAGAAATTAGCTCCTCTCTTGGAACTATAGGTATACTTTGAGAGGGAGATTAAACCCCATGATTCAGTTAGACATGAGTAGCCAAAGAGATGGCAGTGGAAGCTGTTTACTAGCTTCCTTCCTTGGGGATAGTTAATGATAAATAGCCCTTGGTAACTTTTGCAAAAGTCTGAAAAAAAGATAGACAGACTTTAGTAGCTGTACACACACTAAGTTTTTATTAAGTTTCTCATAGTACTTGACATATTTTGAAACAGAATATTAGTACATACAATACCTTTGTTAACCTTCGTGTTTCTCCAAAAAATAGGTTGTACTGATCAAGCTTTGTTTGAAACAGACATCTACCAAACTACTCAATTAAACAAACGTTTTGGAATTCCGTCAGATTCCATCTTCAGTATCTAAAGCAAAATAAAATGAATTTACACAAGTCTTTGGATATCTCTATAATACAAAGCAATGTACAAAGACTTATATAAATTCATTTTATACTACTCAATTAGTTTTCTAACTGTGGCTGAAAATTTTTTAAATTTAGATAAGACTACAGATTTGGGCATTAAGACTGTATTGAATTGAATAAGGTGTACTATGGTTAGTAAATATGACAAATTCAAATCACGATCAAAGATTTACCATAGTATGCTATGAGCTAAATTGTAACCAGTTCTTATTTTATTTTAAGACTGTATTGAATTGAATAAGGTGTACTATGGTTAGTAAATATGACAAATTCAAATCACGATCAAAGATTTACCATAGTATGCTATGAGCTAAATTGTAACCAGTCCTTATTTTATTTTAAGACTGTATTGAATTGAATAAGGTGTACTATGGTTAGTAAATATGACAAATTTAAATCACGATCAAAGATTTACCATAGTATGCTATGAGCTAAATTGTAACCAGTCCTTATTTTATATTAAGACTGTATTGAATTGAATAAGGTGTATATGTTTAGTAAATATTTGTTAATTAAACGAAAGAATTCAATCTAACAGCTCCATGTTAAGTTTTTTTACGTAGCAACTTTTGCTGCTCATTTTGTCAGTTTTTGGCTTTTTTGTATAATGGTGAAAGCAATGGGTAGATGGTCAAGGCTTTTAAATTTTCATTTTGGGCAGCCAAGGAATTACAATTTTTGAGTTTATTGGTAATGACCATCAGTCACCAGTTATCGTTCATTATTAATGTTTGTCTTGTGATCTTTATTACTTTGTTTGTGCTGTCAGTGTTTGTGATTTTGTTCACCAGTTTTGTTTTTATGAATTTATATTAATGTTAAAAATTATGAGATGCTACTGTCAAATAGACAAAGCCTATAATTTGAATTTTTTTTTTTCAGTGGTCTAGACTTCTAGTCACTGACTATTTCTTTCATAAGAATAGCTGTTTTCTCTTCCCATTTTCAACCTGTTTTTCAAGGTTCTTTTACTATTATATGTTAGAACAGGGGTAGCCAACCTTTTTTGTGCCATGGGCCAGATTTTGATTACCGGAGTCGACCCAGGCTGCTTTCAACTTTAAAATACAGTGCTGGTAAAAAAAAGTGGCCACCCTGAGCTTAGTATTTTTC